TCTTGAATAATAACTCAAAAAACATTAGTTTCCACTCTGAAAATATAATCTTTAAACCTATAACTGGTATCAGCATCAATATAAAAAAATACAGTACCAAGCTACACTGGTATATTTCCATATTAAGAACTTCAAAATATACTTATCACTTGCATTAATTTTCAGTCCACTATGAACAATTATCTGCTGCATGTAAACATGTCTAAATAACTATAGATAAAATACAATCATAAATTTCTGTAAAAGATAATAAAATATCTTCTTTAAAAAACAAAACAATAATAAGCTATTACTGCATTGTTTCCAATTTTATGAAAATGGAACAACCATATGGTTGTTTCCAGTCCTGAGTTCATTTGTAATAAAAATGGCCCTAGTTCCTGGTTAAAGTCAGCAACCAATTCTTTCTCTTCAAAAGATGTCTTCTGGTACATTAGGCAACATCTGGATTAGTTGGTATTCTGTCCATTAATAAAATTATAGACCAAAAACTGACCAGTGCCACAGTACTGTGTTGCAAACAACTTTCCATCAGGAGTGGGATCTGAGAAAGCAATTTCTTCTTTACTCAAATATGAGCCATAAATAAAGTTACTCCTATTGGGAAAAAAAAAAAGGAAGGGTGGGGGAAAGAGGAGAAGATTAAAAATTAATCTTTCTGTTCACTGAAACTGAACAACCTATCAAATTCATTTAGACAAGAAAGACTAAAGCAATGCTATATTATTCTAAAAAAACAAAATACCTATTGGTCTTAAATATTATAATTTGAAGTAGGAAGACTTTAGACAAGCAATAATTATAAAAAAAAACGTTTGTCCAACATCATGTCATAAAGTACTCAACAACTCAGAGTTGAACTTCTCAATCAAGGTATCAAACATGAATTCACAGTGAAAGACTATTTCTCAGATCAGGAAAAAGGTATGTCTGTCCTCTTCCCTTCAATAACACCACCAACAACACTTACCAGCATAAACCAGAGAAGACATAAGCATCCCAATGAGAACGTAAGAAAGAAAGAAAACACTTTCTTTGGCAGATGATATGATCTTACAAAGAGGAAATTCTGAGGGATTTACCAAAAGACCGCTTAAAATTTAGTAAATGATCTAGGGAGTTAGAGAAATGGCTCAGCAGTTAAGAGGACTGGTTGGTTGCATGTCCAGAGGTCCTCAGTTCAATTTCCAGCAACCACATGGTGGCTCACAACAATCGATAGTGAGATCTGGTGCCCTCTTCTGGCCTGCAGGTACACATGCAGGCAGAACACTGTATAGATAATAAATGAACAAATAAAAAACTTAGTAAATGATCTGAAGGGTTGAGACTCAGATTGATATTCAACTGTGAACTGCATTAGCTATAGGCCTGAAAAATGGGCAATCGAAACATGAACCTTGAAAACAACCAACCTCTAACACTAGTATGAGCACAATGCTTAGGAAAATAATTACCAAAAAACCTGTAAGCTAAAAACTATAAAATATTATTTAAATAAAAACCTAATAAAGAGGCACCCATATTTAAAAGTCAGAAAACTCAATACTGTTAAAGTGCTACTACTGCAGAAACTGATCCAAAGCTAGTTTCCTTGGAGAAAATGGCAAGCTGATCTTAAAATTCACAAGGAAATAAAAAGGATACTGAAGAGTCAAAATATTAAAAAAGAAAGAAAAAAAGAAAAAAAAGAGAGAAGAAAAAGGCTGAAGGATTCATAGATTCCCCATTTCCAAATACGCCACACAAAGCTGTAGCATTTAATGCTGACATAAGCATAGACAGAACATGGAACAGACATGACTAGACAGAAACCTTTACAAGTACGCCGAGACCAACAACTATTCAGGAAGAGTGCAGTCCTTGTAACAAATGGTGGGAGAATAAGATATCCACATGCCAAAAGTATATTTGCATGTTGTTATCACTTTCATACAATAATAAAATCCAATAGAGCCAAAGCATGAGTATAAAACTAAACTAGAAGGATAAACATGAATCTTTGGGGCCATGCATTAGACAATGGATTTTAAAATATGACAACAAAAGGGACAAAAGGGAAAAAAAAAGCATGAAGTAGATTTCATCAAAATGAAGTGTGTGTCAAAGGACACATCCAAACAGTGTATGATCCTAACATCTGGGAAGTGAGGAGATCAAAGGCTTAGTTAGGCTTTTAACCCCAGCACTTGGGAGGCAGACAGATCTGTGTAGTTCAAAGTTAGCCCGGTCTACAGAGCAAGTGCCAGGAAAGCCAGAGCAGTCACACAGAGAAACCCTGTCTCAAAAAACAAACAACAACAAAAAAGCTGACACAGGCTTGAATAGGTTCCTTTCTTTTTCTTTATGTGTGTCTGGTCAGAGAGAGAACTGAGAACACGTTGTTGTTTTGCCTAGACTGGCTGACCATGAGCTCCTCGCACTGTAATTATAGATACATGCCACCTTATCCTGCTTTTACACAGGTCCTAGGGATTTGAACTTTAAGTACTCATGGTTACACAAAAAGAACTTCATCAAATGAGACGTTTTCCAGCCTCTCAATAGGTTTTTCTTCTAAAGACGATGAAGTGAAGAACTTGGAGCTCTCATATATTGCTGGTTGGGTTATAAAATGGTGCAGACGCTACAGAAGAGAGTTCAGCAGTTCTTCAAAACATTAAACTCATCAGTACTACAAGATCCCCAATTATACACCTAAGTATACACTCTCAAAGTTAAACACATCCACACAAACACTGGTGTACAAATGGTCATAGCAATACTATCCATGAATGTCAGTAAGCAGAAACACACCAAATATAAACAGATGAAAGAACAAATAATTCTACTCTACTATTTGGCAATCATAAAAAAGCAATTTATTTTTTAATGTTTTAAAAAGCAGGATTGGGAAGACAGCTTAGTTGGTAATGGGCAAGCACAAGGACCTGAGTTCAATGACCAGAACCCACCATTTAAAAAAAAAAAAGCCTGATGGCACATGGGCTTGTGATCCTAGCCCATGGTGGAGACTGGCTCATGGCTGTCCAGCCTCACCTACTGGGTATGTTCCAAGCCAGTGAGAGATTCTGTCTCAAAAGCCAAGAAGGACAGCACTGGAGGAGCCACACCGAAGACTGTCCTCTGGCTGCCACACAGAGACAAACATACATACACCCGTGTGCATATGCACACACACACATACACACACACAAGCAGCAGACAGATCCATGCTACCACACTGATGATACTTAGAATTCCACTTATATGAACTGTTCAGTATAGAAATGTACATTGATACAGAGTAGGCTGGTAGCTGCCAGCCAGCAACTAGAGATGCGAGAAAATGGATCACTACATGAGGCGGGTTTAGGGCTGGACAGGGTGGGGGTAGAAATGTTCTACAATTAGTCAGGTGATAGTTATATACGTTTTGAGTATATTAAACCCACTGAATGGCAACTGAATGGATTTAGGGTGTAATTCTCAAGCCCACTGGCAGCATTTGTATACCGTCAGAAGGGAAAGTAAGTGAAGAAGCAGAGGCTCTACGCACTCTAACAGGGAGCTCACTCACTGTTGTACGACTATTACAACACTGCTGTTTCCGTGGCTTGAACAAGAGCTACCTACATGGTTTACTACAAGATTTAAAGGATGGAAAATAAATCCTCTCACTCCTTTAGGACTATTTGTGTTTAAACATCTTGTTCCCCAGGTTTCACACTAAAAAAGAACTGGAAACAGGACAGTTGAGAGCTATTGTTCATTAACCACATACATAGTAAGAAGCTAAGGCCCACCTGTAACAGCAATGGTTATTTCAAAACCTATTCCCATAGGAAACAGTTCACATTCTATAAATAAACAATAAACTGACCTAAATTTTTTAAGCACCACTGATAGAACCTGGGACCTGATACTTGGTGAGCAAGTGCTCTACCATCTAGCTTACCCACTCTGCCCCCAAAACCTTTTATGGATGATTAATTTTAACCTTCATTTTATCCTTTATCTAAGGAACTTTATTGGAAGAAAAAAATCTGATGCTTTTCTTTGTGTTTTTGATAAACAACCACAGGATAAAGAGAATATAAAATAATACTTAAAAATTTTTAAGCATTTATTATTAGCATATGCATGTGTATATCTTTTTGTGCATGCATGTGTGTGTGTGAATGCCTGTGCTACAATGTTTGTATAGAGAAGTCATATAACTCAGTGAAGTTGGCGCTCTCCTTCTACCTGTATGTGGTTTGGGGGATTGAAATCAGGTTTTTTTTTCAATCAGCACCTTTACCTGTAGAGCCATGTCACTGTCCCCACCCCCACAAAAAAAGAAATTCCTTTTTTTTTTTCCTTTCTAGACAGGGTTTCTCTGTAGCTTTGAAGCCTGTCTTGGAACTCGCTCTGTAGACCAGGCTGGCCTCAAATTCACAGAGATCTGCCCGCCTCTGCCTCCCAAGTGCTGGAATTAAAGACATGTGCCACCACCACTGGCCAAAAAGATTAAGACAATTTTCTCTAAAAGTCGATTTTCCAAAACATTGTCTATATATATATATTTGTTTTTGTTTAGGAATCTCTAAGAGTGAACACAGGTTGAACTATGTTATACTGGCCTAATGTCACAGTTTTAAATAAAAGTTTAATATTTCATCTATTATCAAACATTTTCCTCTTCAGATTAAACAAAAAAGATTTACAGATCTAGTTATTTATACAAAATTTATAGTTAATACAAATAAAACTCATACAGTTATGATTAAGTATCAATCTTTAAACTAAAACTCTAAACTACTACAAATGAGTCACACATTACCTTAGGCATTCAATCATGCGAGAAGCTATCTTCTTCCGCCGCATCATGCTAAACACCCATATTCGACTGATCCCACAGATTGCAGGCTCTGGCAATGTTGAACAGCACCAGGCTTTTTGCCTTTCAAATCGGACTTTTTCTTCTTCTGACCTGATAACTGGAAGTTTCTCTTCTATAACTCGATAGCCCTATAAATGTCAAAAATGGCAAGGAAAATAAAGGTGGCAGTTGTCTAGTGTAAATCTGGCTGAGGTCTGCCTGCTTAACAAACTAGCAGATCACTTAACAATCTGGGTTTACTTCCATTCTGACTCAACCCATAATAACATAATTAAGTATATCTACCACTAATCATTTTGAGTCATTTAACAAGGATTTTGCCATCCAAAGTGAACACAAGAATGGAATGTGTTTTTCTCTACCATCTGCTTTCTAAGCAGCAAAAGTACATGTTAAACCAGGCAATTGTGGCACAGGTCTTTAATCCCAGCACTAGGGAGGCAGAGGCAGGCAGATCTCTGTAAATTGGAGGCCAGCCTAGTCTACATAGTGAGTTCTAGGATAGCCAAAAACCAAACAAACAAACAAAACAAACAAAAACAGCCGGGCATTGGTAGTGCACAACTTTAATCCCAGCACTCAGGAGGCAGAGATGGGCAGATCTCTGAGAGTTCAAGGGCAGCCTTGTCTACAGAGCAAGTTCCAGGACAGAATCCAAAGCTACACCAGAGAAAAGCTGCCTCACAAAACCAAACCAAAGGAAAAAAAAAGGGAGGGGAGGAAAGGAAGAGAAGAACATATTCTGAGCTCAATAGTCATAGTGACTGTTCCTATACTGCACAATTCACCACCACACAAGAACTAAGAACAGGAAGAGAAGGGAAATCAAGAAAGCCTTTTCTGACAGCTTAGCGGTTTAGAGCACTGGTCCTAAGTTCAATTCCCAGCAACCACTTGGTAGCTCACACCATCTATAGTGAGATCTGATGTTCCCTTCTGACATAAATTCGTACATGCAGATAGAGCATACATACACATAAAATAAATCTATTTTTAAAAAAAAAAACGTTTCCTTTGATTTATCGAGATGCTCTGATCGCTTTTTTAAAATATTTATTTATTATGTATACAATATTCTGTCTTCATGTATGCCTGAAGGCCAGAAGAGGGCAACAGACCTCATTACAGATGGTTGTGAGCCACCATGTGGTTACTGGGAATTGAACTCAGGACCTTTGAAAGAGCAGGCAATGCTCTTAACGGCTGAGCCATCTCTCCAGCCCCTCTGATCTCAGTAAGTAACTGTAAACATATATACACATTATTGTCAAAAAGGACATGACCAATCTCCTAATAAGACAAAGATAAAACTTAAAATAAAACTAGAAAACAAAATTTAAGAGTGATACATGTCTTCAATCCCAACAACTGGAAGGCAGAGGCAGGAAGATTCTTTGAGATCCAGGCTAGCCAATGCAATAAAGAGACTTTGTTTCAAAAGAACGTGACAGACGGCTCAATGGTTGAGCTGGTCTTGCAGGGGACTTGAGTTCAGGTCCAAAATCCAAATGGTGGCTTACTATCTGTACCCTCTTCCGAACTCCACAGGCACCAGGCACACACAAAGAATAGGATCATGCATGAAGGCAAAATACTCAAGCTGGCCCATGCCTTTAATTCCAGCATTAGGAAGCAGAGGCAGGCAGGCAAATCTCTATGAGTTCAAGGTCAGTCTGGTCTACAAAGTGAGTTCCATGACAGCTAGAGCTGTTACACAGAAAAATCCTGCCTTGAAAAACCAAAAGAAAGTTTCTGTCCTGCCTGGTCCCACAGCCATTCAGTCCCAAAGAAACATAGAGAGGCTTATTATTAACTATAAACTGTTTGGCCTATTAGCTCATACTTATTACTAACTAGCTCTTACAACTTAAATTAACCCACAGTTCTTATCTATGTTTAGCCACGTGGCTTGGCACCTTTTCTCAGTAAGGCATTCTCATCCTGCTTCCTCTGCATCTGGCTGGGGACTGCATCTCTGCCTTTCCTCTTCCCAGAATTCTCCTAGTCTGGTTGCCCCACCTACCTGCCTCCTGCCTGACTACTGGCCACTCAGCATTTTATTAAACTAATATGAGTGACAAATCTTTACAGTGTATAAGAGTATTATCCCATAGAGAGAGAGAGAGAGAGAGAGAGAGAGAGAGAGAGAGAGAGAACAAATGAGTGTGGCAGGATTACAATAAAATTGTATTTACAGCCGGGCGGTGGTGGCGCACGCCTTTAATCCCAGCACTCGAGGCAGAGGCAGGCAGATCTCTGTGAGTTAGAGACCAGCCTGGTCTACAAGAACTAGTTCCAGGACAGGCTCCAAAACCACAGAGAAACCCTGTCTCAAAAAAACAAAAATAAATAAATAAAAAAATAAAATAAAATAAAATAAAATTGTATTTACAAAAACAGCCAGGCATGGTAGCACATGCTACCAATCTCAGGGAGCCTCTCTCTGAGTCTGAAGCCAGCCTGATCTATATAGTGAGTTCGAAGACAGCCAGGGTTACATAGTCAGACACTGTCTCAAAAAAAATTTTTTTTTGATAAAAGTAGGTGATGAGCTGGGCATACAACTGTAATCCCAGCACTCAGGAGGGGGCAGCAGAGAACAACCTCAGCTACTGAGCAACTTCAAGGTAGGACTATGTGAGAGCCTACCTTGCCTAGCCCCCTTTAACTCAAGTGCTAGGAGGATCAACTGAGAGAGGTATTAGTATATAGCACAAAACCTCTGAAGCTCTAAGAGTACTCTTAATTCTATACCTTCCATCTCACTGATTTGAAAAACGAATTCCTGCCAAGTATGGTTTGCACACCATTAATTCTAGTACTCGGACAAAGCAGGGGGGTCTCTGAATTCAGGCTACACACTGAGACCCTGGGAAGAAGGGAAAGAAGACAGACTAATTCCCACCAGGGTGTGGTGGTATATAACTGTAATTCCAGCACTCAGGAGGATTCCAAATTTGAGGACAGCCTGAGCTACATAGTGATATCCAGGCCAGGCAGTATTACATAGAGAGACTATGTCTCAAAAAAAGAAAAGAAAAATCAATTCCTGCACAAGACATAACTTTACATTCTATCTTTATCTGAAATGTAGATAGATTTATTAGGATATTATTTAGTGTTCCATAGTAATAAGCTAATTTAGATATCAAACTATTTCTAAGTACTCTTTAGAAGTTACTTACCCACTGGATGTGTTCTGCAATCAAGCAGCCGACTACTTTTTTGTCATTAGAAATAAAGAGAAGTGTTTTAGTTCTGGAATAGCACATTAATGGAGCCTGTTGGAAACCCAAATCGTTGTCAACCATCTCTCTAATTTCATCAACCTGCCAAGTAAAGAACAAGACGTTTTTTAAAACAAAGAAAACATTGTATACAGGTTTAAAAAAAAACCCATTCAATAAGATGAATATATTATTCCTAACCAAATACTCCCTAAGGAGTTTTTGAGACAGAAGTCCTGTTAATTCTGTTATGTACTTCTGGCTGTCCTGGTGCTCAATAAGTAGCCCAAGCTGGCCTTGAACTAGTGGCGATTGTTCTGCCTCAGTCTCCTGAATACTGAAATCATGGGCGTATGCCACCATACATTATAATTAAAAGGCTGGAACTCTTCTACATGTCTGTACTGATTATTAACTCACTGGTCTTTAAGCACTGGAAGCAACTTGGTAGAAAGAGGGAAGGCACAGAGGTGTTGCCAACCCTAGCGGTCTCGGAAACAAGGGTGAGCAGGAGTGCAGCACTAAGCATGTAAGAGCACTGAGACTTTCTCAGGAGGAGCACAATGTGTGTAAATGGCTAGAGCACACTGAATCTTAGCCAGCAAGATACTGTCCACCCCAAGCTTTAGTTAGAACTCTCAACAGTAAAATGAAGGGAACAGAAGAAAGAAATTCATGTTCACTATCTGGCAAGCATCTAAAAGTGAGACACAATAAGAACTATAGTCATTTCAATCCAATATCCCTTGGAGTATTATAGTTCTTCATTTTGCATGTGGAAGAAACAAACTCAAAAGTGACATAATTTATGTCAAACACTAAACATCTAGAATATCACGGAGCAGAGGTCTGAACCCCAAACATTAACATGGCATCAAAATGCTTCTTCCAAGTTCAAGCTACCAAGTTGTAGGCACTAAAAAAAAAAAATAACAATTATGAGACGGGTGGTGGTGGTACATGGCTTTAATCCCAGCACTAGGGAGGCAGAGACAAGCAGAACTCTATGAGTTCAAGGCCAGCCTGGTCTACAGAGCAAGTTCTAGGACAGGCTCCAAAACTACACAGAGAAGCGCTATATCAAAAAACCCAAAAGAAAAAAATCACAAAAATTCACAAGGACGTGCACACTAATTCCCTCTCCAGTTTAAAGAACATAAATTGCCAGGTTGATGGCTTATCCCTTTAATCCCAGCATTTGCAAGGGAGACAAATTTCTGTTAGTCTGGGCCCAGCCTGGTCTAAATTAAAAAGCAAGTTCCAGGTCAACCAGGCTGGCCAGTGAGACCCCATCTGGGGGCAGGGATGGGGCACACAATGTTGCAAATGTTTCATCTAATAACCATTCATGTCACTGAACCTAAAGTGCAAATAACCTCTAGAGTGGTTCATATTCTTGCTTCTTGTACATACCAGATTGTGCATCCCTTAGTCAACGATAAAAACTCACCCCCTCATAATTTCTAAAATTTTCTATTTTATAAGAGCATCTAGAGACATTTGATTCTGGGGAAAACTAAACTGAATGCTGGAAAAAGGATGGTGAAATAGGGAGAAGCCATGTAGCTCCGCTGGAGAAAGATGCAGGAACTTTACCAAGCCTCGTGGCGATACATAGATTAATGGAGATGGGCTAGTTTAGGATATAAGAGACAGAAATATGTCTGAGCTATGGGCCAAAGAATATTGCAAATAATATGGTTCCTGAGTGATTACTTCAGAGCTGAGCAGCTGGGAACAAACAAGAGGGCTGCTACTACAAATTGGTGCACAACATGGTTGACTAAACCCATGTAAAACGTGAGAAAGCTTAAAAAGTCATTCTAGAAAGGAAAAAAAGAGAGTTAAACACAGCTTCTAGGTAGCGAGCATTTTGCTGGCAGGTGCCACAGCTCCTTTTAAGTGAGGTTTTCCTAATTCAGCCATAGCAGAAAAAAAAGTCACACGGGTTTGAAATGGCGACTTTCCTGGGCAGTGCTGCCAGTACAAACTCTGATGAGGATTGGCTATGGAACGTCTGAATGGGGTTTGTGACCAGAGTGCTACAACTTGATTAATGGCAACATAGACCCACTGTGTGTCTGAAAATGGGGCTGTGAGCACGGCTTGCACTAACTAAACAGACCTCCGCCCCGACATGTTGGACTGGACAGAGCCAAAAGATAAAGCAGCTACAGAAGCACTTCACATTTTAAGAAGTGCTCCTGGACAAAAAAAGAATTACAGATACACAATAGAACAGATTCAGACATAAAAGAACTCTAAACAAGTCATAATGTTGGATAAATGTACGTAGGCTTGGGAGAGAGAAGAAAGAGTATAAAGAGTTAGAGGTTAAGAGCATTGCCTGCTCTTCCAAAGGTCCTGAGTTCAATTCCCAGCAACCACATGGTGGCTCACAACCATCTGTAATGAGGTCTGGTGCCCTCTTCTGGCCTGCACAGGCATACACACAGACAGAATATTGTATACATAATAAATAACATTTTAAAAAATGGGTTTTTTTTTTTTTTGAGACAGGGTTTCTCTGTGGTTTTAAAGCCTGTTTCTCTGGGGTTTTGAAGCCTGTCCTGGAACTAGCTCTTTGTAGACCAGGCTGGTCTCGAACTCACAGAGATCCGCCTGCCTCTGCCTCCCAAGTGCTGGGATTAAAGGCGTGCGCAACCACCGCCAAGCTAATGCCAAAAAAACAAAACAAAGTCTTTAGAGAGACAGAGTACAGACAGTCATAGATTAAAGGAGTAAGATAATAAATATTAAAAAGTAATAAAGTAAAAACAAGTCACATAAAGATGGAATACACAGTATATAGGGCTGGAGAGATGGCTCAGCGGTTAAGAGCATTGCCTGCTCTTCCAAGGGTCCTGAGTTCAATTCCCAGCAACCACATGGTGGCTCACAACCATCTGTAATGAGCTCTGGTGCCCTCTTCTGGCCAGCAGGCATACACACAGACAATATTGTATACATAATAAGTAAACAAATATTTTTTTAAAAAAAGATGGAATATACAGAGTGTCTATATTATGTATATTATTGTGTTTTGAATTTTTTGATTTATAAAGGAGCTAAGTAACCAACATATCTACTTTAAAGGTATTTTGTCTTCAAAATTTGGGTCTAAGGATATGTTGCTTTAGAAAAGAGGCTCTTCTTTTGTTACCACAGAGGATGAGTACCTGTGAAATCCTTCCAGACTAATGTGGTTTGATGGACCAAAACCCCCTGAAAGGTCTCCGATAAACAGCCCCCAAAATTACTTTGCCAACAAAAAGCAGGAAGCAGTATGGAAAAAACTATGCCCAAATTCCCAAATATTGTTTATAAAGGTTTGTTTACATTTAAAGGGGGATATGCTATAGAGATCAATGCTTTGCATTGGTATGGATCTTGGTTTTTGATACAAATTTAAGGTCAAGTTTGTTATACTGTATATAAATACTTCTGCTCTTGATTAAGGTATTGTGTTTGTGTAGCTCATTTAAAAATGTAATGTGCCAGGTGGTGGTGGTGTACACCTTTAATCCCAGCACTTGGGAGGCGAGGTAGGCTGTCCTCTGAGTTCGAGGACAGCCTGGTCTACAAGAGCTAGTTCCAAAACAGCCAGGGCAACACAGAGAAACCCTGTCTCAACACCTCCCCAAAAATAAGAATGCAATATATAATTAAGAAATATAGGTTAATAGATAATCATCTATAATAGTCAAGCTTGTAGTCAGTCATGTTAGATTTTTCTAGAGGTACAGAGATATATTTCAGATAGATAGGCATTCTTCAAACCTTTCAAGGAGTTCAGAATATGACATTTAAATGTTTAAGAACTTAAGACTTTTCATGACAATGAGACACATCTGCTCCTAGAAGCACCAATGTACTTCAAGAGCATGATGGGCACTGAAGAGGCTCCTTATGGAGTTGGATAGCCAAGTGGGCAAGGAACTGCTCTTGCCTGGACTGCTTGATGGTGTGCTCTATGAACTGGACAAGCAGGACCCACAGAGAAATGACTGCTGAACTTGGTGAGATGATCTTTCAGGGTTCCTGCTTCATGAAAGAGTCTGCTAGACATTCTGTAGGACACAGAAGAAAGTGACTGACAAACTGCCAATATGGGCAGAACTGCTTTTGAAATTTCCTGCTTTGTGGAAAAATCTGCTGGATACTATGGGCCTATCGGCCGAAGATGGATACTCCAATGATACAGAAAAACTCTGGGTGACTGTCCAGGCAGTGAGACGTCTCTGTCATTTCTAGAGTTTTGGAGGTTGCTTACAATCCACTTCCTGTTTAATCAGGTAATATTATATCCTTCTGGAGTCTTTGATTGAATTGAAGAATAGATAATAATAATAGATAAAGCAGATATAAATACTGTAACTGTAATTCTTGCTCGATACCTGTTTTGTTATATGTAATTTTACTATGTTAAAGTTAAAACCTTTTTCTGTTATTACATAACAGAAAAGAGGTGGTAATGTAGGATTCCCCTCTATATGCTGTGATTAGCATTAATGAATAAAGAAACTGGCTTGGCCTGATAGGATAGAGTAGAACTAGGCGGGGAAAACTAAACTGAATGCTGGGAAAAGTAAGGTAGAGTAGGGAGAAGCCATGTAGCCCCTCTGGAGATGCATGCCAGAACTTTACCTGGTAAGCCACAGCCTTGTGGCGATACACAGATTAATGGAAATGGGCTAGTTTAGTTTAGTTAGCCAATAAGAAGCTAGAGCTAATGGGTCAATCAGTGATTTAATATAGTTTCTGTGTGGTTATTTCGGGAGCCTGGACGGCCGAGAAACGAACAAATGACCCCCTACAACACATCCATAATTATTCTTACAAGCAGTTTGCTAACAATTCTTTCTGTTTTACTTTTAAAGTTATTGTTACTAACGAGTAATAGAACTGCTTGTAGGCTTTCCCTGAAAAGCTGAATTGAACAAATGAGTAGTCAGTAAGATGATTCTTAGTAAGCAGTCTGTCATATAAGGTACTGTAACAAAATTTCTACTCTGCATCTTGAATGATTTTTTATATTTGAATTTCCATTACTCAATAACTCTACAAACATTTGTCTTTGTACAAAGATAAATGTTTTAAATACAGGACAAACTGAACATGCTTTATGCCATTCTATGTATCATTAAGGGCTAATCTGGTGTCTGCAACTGTCTTATTAGGTAAGTGATTTAAAGACATAAAGAGCCATAGAATAAACTCCCTATATCAAAGCATTAGCTATACAGATTCAACACAATGCCTATCAAAATCCCAGCAAAATTCTTCACAGACCTCAAAAGAATGGTACTCAACTTCATATGGAAAAGCAAAAAACCCAAGATAACCAAAACAATCCTGTACAATAAAAGAACTTCTGGAGCCATCACAATCGCTGACTTCAAACTCTACTACAGAGCTACAGTACTAAAAATAGCCTCGTATTGACATAAAAACAGACAGGAAGACCAATGGAACCGAATAGAAGACTCAGATATCAATCCACACATCTTCAAACACCTGATTTTTGATAAAGAAGCAAAAAAAAAATATCAAATGGAAAAAAGAAAGCATATTTAACAAGTGATGCTGGCATAACTGGATATAAACATGGAGAAAATTAAAAATACACCCATATCTATTACCATGCACAAAACTCAAGTCCAAATGGATCAAAGACCTCAACATAAAGCCAGCTACACTGAACCTTATATAAGAGAAAGTGAGAAGCACACTTGAACGCATTGGCACAGGGAATCACTTCCTAAATATCACCCCAAGCTGCACAGACACTGAGAGAAACAATTAATAAATGGGACCTCCTAAAACTGAAAAGCTTCTGTAAAGCAAAGGACACAGTGAACAAGACAAAACCACAGCCTACAGAATGGGAAAAGATCTTCACTAAACCCACAACAGACAGAGGTCTGGTCTCCAAAATATACAAAGAACTCAAGAAATTGGACACCAAAAGATCACATAATCTAATAAAAAAAAATGGAGTGTACAGACCTAAACAGAGAACTCTCAACAGGGGAATCTAAAATGGCTGAAAGACACTTAAGGAAATGTTCAACATCCTTAGTCATCAGAGAAATGCAAATCAAAACAACTCTGAGATTCCATCTTACACCTGTAAGAATGGCCAAGATCAAAAACCCTGATGACAACTTATGCTGGAGAGGATGTGGGGTAAAAGAAACACTCTTGCATTGCTGGTGGGAGTGCAAGTTGGTACAGCCCCTTTGGATATCAGTATGGTGAATTCTCAGAAAATTAGGAAACAACCTTCCTCAAGACCCAGCAATACCACTTTTTGGTATATATCCAAAGGATGCTCAATCGTGCCACAAGGACATGTGATCAACTATGTTCATAGCTTGTCATAGACAGAACCTGGAAACAACCTAAATGCCTCTCAACCAAAGAATGGATAAGGAAAATGTGGTACATTTACACAATGGAGTACTACATAGCAGAAAAAAATAACGACAGCTTGAATTTTGCAGGAAAATGGATGGAGCTAGAAAACATTATTTTGAGTGAAGTAACCCAGAAACCCAGACACAGAAAGACAATTATCACATGTACTCACTCACAGGTGGTTTTTAAACATAAAGCAAAGAAAGCCAGACTACAAACCACAATCCCAGAGAACTTAGACAACAATGCAGACACTAATGGAGACTTACATAGATCTAATCTACTTGGGAAGTAGACAATACAAAAAGATAAGATCTCCTGAGTAAATTGGGAGCAAGGGGACCCTGGGGGAGGACTGAAGAGGGAAGGAGAGACGTAGGGAGGGGAGCAGAGAAAAATGTAGAGCTATATAAATATATGGACATTAGCTATATTTTCAAATAATAGGTGTTTCCTTAGCCTCCCTTTCAGGTGACATAATCTTAGATTTAAAGATGTCCAATTGTAAATCTAAAGAAAATATAGCAAATAAATTAATTCCCTTGTGGTTCTAGACATTTTTGGACACATACTAGAATGCAACTAGGTTTTTAGATAAATAAAACTCATACCCACATTAAGAACTTTCTGTAAAAGAAAAAAGTAATGTGAGAGACAAAAAACAACAATACTAAGTCTATTATTTATAAATGTAATGTTGTTTTCTTTTCCACTAATGGTGACTGAACTCAGAGATTCACAAGTAAGTTTATGCCATCACCCCTTTCAAAACACCTTGTATAACAAAAGATGCTATGCTTCATTACCTAATTCATTTTTCACTAAAGTAAAAGCTATGGAATACTTAAGGCATATGCATGCCTTCCAGGTACTCACTCAATGGGTTGGTACTCAATCTGCCTCACATATGTTTACGTAGTAAGATTGAGCATACTTTCACAAATGAGCTGTGTTAATTTTTTTCTTCAGGTCGGCTATACTCTTTAAATGCTTATTTCTTGTTTTTATAATTGGTGTTTAATGTACAAAGCCTGCAATGTATTATTCTCTTAACCTTAAGTCCAAATTTTCTGCATGAAATATCACTGAAAATTTACCTTTTTCAGGGCATACTTTGGATCTTCGGGAAGAACCATTATTATCCTACCATCAGGATATTCAGCCAGAATTCTTTCTTTTTTCCAGCCCTAGATATAAAAGAATATATTTTATGTATTATACTTTATTCATTCATGTACAAGACAAAAAGGACCCCTACTTGTCTAAAAATTGCAAAACTGAAAAATACATGTCCATTAATTGATTAACTAATAAGGCGTGATCAGTCATCTGCTTTGCTAAGTTTACAACATATTGAATACAAGCTAATTTCTAATGCTTGTTCAGAGAGATGTCATACCACAAAATTTCTAATTTATCATTTCCCATCATAACAAATTCTGAAAATCACATACCAAAAAACAATCAAACCCCTTAAAGTCAGTGGATCCCCAGACCAGAAAGGGTAACTCTCCCAGACTCTGGACAAAAGAACTCAACTCTTAGATTTATTTGGAACATGGTTACCTCCACAAATTAACACTCATATTTATGAATGGCATGCCAAAGACCTCCAGGAGGTTCCAGGTGAACTGATTAGCATGCAGTAGCCCAGAATGAAAGAATAGCTTTTACTCTTATTGTTCACAACTATCAAAACCACAAGAAGGAGACTATAAAAAAATATAACTACCTTCTAAGAATCTAATAGGGAAGGAGAGGCTACGTTGTGTGTATCTGAAGTTAAACATACTCAAAAAAAGAGGTAATAAACTCTTCTTCAGATCCACACTCGTGGTGATTAATGAGCAGAACCTGCATGAAAAAACAAAACAAAACAAAACAAAAGCCACTTAAATCTAGTAAGATGGGACTGAACCAGGTTAAAACTAGGAACTCTGAAGTTCAAAATAATTACAGAAAGAATGAGCTTTAACTAGTTGTTCCATTTGTCTTACCCAACCAATTTTACTTTTAAAAGCCTTTTTAAAAGCAATTTGCAATTATGCTTAGGGAAAAGTTCTTTTCTAAGATCGCTTCTAAAAATATAAAAGCTCAATAAAGAAAAAGGCTATTTTTTGATATACCATGGTAAGTCTGAAAAGATGGAAACTGATTTTCTAAGTTATCTTTTTGTTTTGTTTTTGTTTTTTTATGAAATGGGAGCAGGATCTTAGTTAGAAACAAAATTTCTACTAATAAAGATCAGAATACCTAAGATCACGGAACAAAACATTTAAAATTCACCATCTGCTTAACTTCAAGGACAAGTAAAATTCAAGGATTGATATGAACTAGGGATGGAACAATTATTTCGAGATTAAGATTCAGGCTGGAGAAACGGCTCAGCAGATAAGAGCACCTGTTGTTCTTGCAGAGGACACAGGTTCGATTCCCAGCAACCATAATGGCTCACAACTACCTGTAACTTCAAATCTAAGAGAACTAACAGGCAGGCACATGGTTGCACACATACATACATACAAGCAAAACACTCATACACAAAGTAAAATAAATAAATTTGACTTTTTAAAGATTAATGTATCAGAATAATAAAAAGATCAATCAGAATCATACATATTTGAACATAAGGTTAACCATTTTTAAAGGCATAAAAGATAACACCTATAAAAATAAAAAACTTAGGGGGCTAGAGAGAAGGCTCAGAGGTTAAGAACCCTGACTGCTCTTCCATAGGTCCTGAGTTCAATTCCCAGCAACCACATGGTGGCTCATAACAATATATAATGAGATCTGGATGTTCTGGAACTCACTCCATAGATCAGGTTGGCCTCAAACTCATAGAAATCCACCTGCCTCTACCTTCTGAGTTCTGGGATTAAAGTATGCACAACCACAGCCCAGCCATATTTTACATTTGATTTGCATTTCTCATGAAATCCCTTGTCTGTCTGTGATGAGAAATGAAACTAGAACTGATAGCATGCTAAGTAAATGTTTCCTTATGAAACTTCACCCCTAGCACAGTTTGAATAATTTTTTTCCAAGATAGGGTTTCTCTGTAGCCCTGGTCATCCTGGAATTCAAACACAGAGATTTGCCAGCCTTGGCCTCCAAAACAGGTGTGGGGGAGGGGGAGATTAAAGGTGTTTGCCACCACCACCCGTTTAATTTGGATTTCTAAACACTCAGTGATAGACACACCAACAACAACTACAACAGTTCACTGACGCCAGGCATGGAGGGGCATGCTTTATTCCCAGATCTCATGAGGACCAGGCAGGCAGATCTCTGAGTTTGGGGTCAGCCTAGTCTACAGAATGAGTTCCAGGACAGAGAAGATTGTTATACTGTTGGGGGTGGGGAGTACACACAACCATTTATGCCATGGAGAATGAATGGGCCATAGAAAAACAAAACAGGACAAATAAAAAATGGAAGTACTGGCATGGTTAGAAGAAAACTGCATAATCAGTTCTGTCCAGACAATGAAGAAGGAAGATGTGACCTACCCCGCTGAAAAAGGTACCAAGCCATGTGGCTAACGTAGATAAGAATAATGGGTTAATATATGTTATAAGAACTAATACAAAGCCTGAGCTAATGGGCCAAAATCAGCTTATAACTTATGGAGACCTCTGTGTGATTTTCCTTAGGGCTAAACGGCTGCAGGAACCGGGCAGGAAAAAAACCCAACAAGCAGGCACTCATGTTAACAGAATGGTGCCCACGTGGACAACTGCATCCACATAAAACCTGAGAGAGCTTTGGAAATAATTCTAGACAGAAAAGAATAGAGTAGAGCATCGCTTCTTGGTAGCAGCAATTTCTTTGGTCTGCTCTGCTTGCTAGAGGCAAGCAAGCGCTCTCATTTAAGAGAGGCTTCCTGATTTAGCAGGGACCTTGAAATGAAATAGAGTTGTGGCAATAAACATGGCTTCAGCCAATACCTCCAGATGAGGCTGGAATTGCAGAAAGCTAAGGAATGGGCTGGATCCAGACATCAAAGCCACGGCTTTAATCCTACCCATATTGCTTGGTAAATTAAAGACTCGTGTAGTCAGAAAGAGATATACAGTAAAGAGAGATTCAAAAAAAAATTTCTAAATGGTTTACTGTGTGTTAAAAATATATGCTGGCTTGAAAAAGAAAAAGGTTAAAGTCCTTAAAATAAAAAAAAGAGAGAGTAGTTCAGTGTGGTAGTACACACCTTTAATCCCAGCACTTGGGAGGCAGAAGCAGGTGGATCTCTGTGAGTTCAAAGACAGCCTGGTCTACAGAGGGAGTTCCAGGACAGCCAAAGATATACAGAGAACCTGCCTCAAAAAGTAAAAGTAAAAATAAAATAGAGGTTAATATAAAGCCACATAACAATGAAAAATACACAGAGAATCTGAATACTGTATGTTAATATGATCTCTTTGAATTGTTTGAATGCTGAGAAAGGAACAACAGCTGCAAAAAGATATTTGTTTATAAATGCTGCTAAATTAATCCAAAATAGGTATTTTGAAAATACCTTGGCTTCAAAATTCAAGTCAAAAGGTATGTTATTTTGGAGAAGAGATTTTGCTTTTGTTTCCACAGGAAATAAGAGGCTATGGATTCATTCTGAGTTAAGAATAATCACCTGAGAAATCTCTGGTAGGAACAGATGGCCCAGATGTCAGAGTTCTACATCCAGAACAGATTCAAGAGTGCTGCATGAGATGACCAAGACTCACAGGATACTTAAGTCAGGACTTGATCATAATTCAAAATTTTCTTTAGGTCCCCATAAGATTATCAGCGTCCCCAACCAACAGCAAGTAGCCTGGAATACTACGCCCACATTCCCCAAAACTGGACTATGGATATTTTCCTTTGTTTAAAAACGGAGGAAGTGGTATGGGACAATTCTGCATTCTGTCAATTATGTTTTAAATAAACTCTGATTGGCCAGTAGCCAGGCAGAAAGTATAGGCAGGACAACCAGACAGAAAGTAGAGGCAGGGCAATGAGAACAGGAGTATTCCGGGAAGAAGGAAGTTCTTCCCCCAGTCCTGTCCGGACACTGAAGAAGGAAGATGTGACCTGCCCCGCTGAAAAAGGTACCGAGTCATGTGGCTAACATAGTTAAGAATAATGGGCTAATATATGTTCTAAGAGCTAACACAAAGCCTGAGCTAATGGGCCAAAATCAGTTTATAACTTAAAAAAAAAAAGCTGCATGAAAAAAATTGTGACAGCCTGCTGTGGAATGGGAGAATTGGCATTAACACAAATGGAAGCTCTTGGGGTCTGTTTGGAAGGTGAGATTTCCTAAAAGATGACCTTTGGGGGCTGGAGAGATTAAGAGCACTGGCTGCTCTTCCAGAGGTCCTGAATTCAACTTCCAGCAACCACATGGTGGCTCACAACCATCTGTAATGAGATCTGGTGCCCTCTGCTGGTGTGTGGGCATATATGGAGGCACAATGTTGTATACACAATAAATAAATGTTTTAAAAAAGAGATAACCTAAAGGAATGCAATAAAAAATAAAATTTAAATGGGGATAGAGAGAGAACTCAGCAGTTAAGAGCACTTGTTCTTACAGAGGCCCTGGATTTGTTTCCCAGCACCTACATGGTAGCTCACAACCATCTGTAACTCCAGTACCAGGGGAGCCAATGCCTTCTTCTGGGTACCCATGGACATCAGGCATAGATCTGATTCACTGACATTCATACAGGCAAACACTCATTCATCCAAAATATATCTTAAAAGTTAAAACAATAGAAAACTTAAAATATTTATTACAAAATAAACCTTAAAGATTACTATGATGTTTTTAACTTGGGAAGATAAACAGAGTGGTACTACTTCTAGTATAGAGGAAACACAACAAGAACACGTGTGAGTTTTATTTTGAGACTAGATAAGCTACAACTTGCTACCATTCCACCAACTCAAAGGTTCGTGAATTATAGCAGCATAAAATTTGTCAGGCATAACAGTTCATACCTGTAATAAAAACCTGAGTGACAAGAACATGGCTGAAAGTCCAAGGACAGACTTACAATATATAGACATATAATATATAAATTTAACACAGACTGAATCTAGATATTTTTAGAGACAACTTTGAAAGTGACTATGGAAAGCTGTGAAATTTAAGTTTGTAAAATGTTTTGTATTGTGATATCTTTTTAATGTGTACTCTTGG